CAGCTTTCATACATGATTCAGGATTCAGTAAGGTGCACATTTAAGCCATTCCTTGTTTAATTTTAGCTTTATGGTTTTGAGAAAAAGAGCAAAATTTGAATTTTCCTTGTTCAAGCACATTGTGTGAAAAGATCAGAAAATAAAAATGCTTTACAAATTGTCATACTTATTATTTGTTTTTATTTTGTTTTCAATATAGTCACAAACAATACTGACAGGACAGGGATGATTTCAGCTGGGGCCAGATACCCTCTGGCCCTGCCCCTGAATTCCACCCCAGGTTCTTGACAATTGAGTATTTATTAGATTCCATGTACTAACTGTGTGTGTGTGATGCTGTCCTGACAGGTGGTGGGGCAAATGGTGATCTACATGGTGGAGGTCGTCAACAAGGTTCAGGGAATCAGTGTCAACTATGGCACCATCACCAGAGATTCTCCTGTCAGGTCAGAACATGCTGCTGCTGATTCAGAGTAACGTAATGTACAACAGTGCTGAGAGGATGCAGCAGTTTCACTCTGAATGAAATACTGCAATGTTTCAAACAGGTTCAGCGTTTTGTAAATCTATTTTAGTGAGAGACGCCTACAATAACTGATCTTTTGTTCAGTTTCCTAGTTCTCCATCATATGTTTCCCCATCCCTCTTTCATACCTGACTAGAGATAACATTTTTATATTTTATTAAAGTTAAACCTTGCCTGCCCAACTGACATAGACTTATAAACATACGTTATACCGTAGATATCCAGAGGTGTACGACCTGTACCATTTGATCACAATGTTTACAGTGGGATTTTAGCACCTAATTGTTTCTGTCTTTCCTCTTCTCTCTCCCTGCATTTCTTTCATTTTCAGCCATAATCTATGCATAGATTTTCATTACCTTAATTCTGGTGTCATGCTCAGGTTTTTAGTGGAGTGCCGGTTTCAGCCGGGCTCTGTGCTGACTGTGAGCTACCTGGTTAAAACCCCCACGTTTGGTCCTGGAGTTCAGACCCAGGAGATGTATGGAGTCCAGCTCAGGATTGCCAAAGGTACATGGTCTTTGTTTAAACACTAACTGCTGTTTTACATAACTGAACATTTTTTCTGGCAAAACAAGTTTACTTCTGCCAGGATGAAACTGATGATTCATGAAAACATGAATGATTTAAACTCATCCTGATCAGGAGAGCTTCTACTTAATCTTTAAGTGAGGGAGAGTTGCTTTTATAATCTGTAGTCATTCCATTACACCTCCTCATGTCCCAGACGCTCAGTACAGCAGCTACCACCCTCAGTATCACCAGCCCCTGCAGATGCTGCTGGGGAAACCCCTCTACCTAGAAGTGCGGCTGCTGAACGCCCCGGATCCCGGTGTGGTGCTGCTGGTGCACTTCTGTGTGGCCTACCCCCGCTCTGGAAAATCAGTGTGGGTGCTGCTTTACAATGGGTACGTCGAAAACATCAAAATACTGAGCTCAGCAATGAATATATTTATAACGTGGAGATTGAAGGGAAGTATACCAGGGAGACAGTTGGCCTTTTAATCCAATGTTAATCCCTAGATGTCCCAACCCCTTGGATCCAGCACCACACCAGGCTGTGTTGTCTGCTCCTCGACCTCCTTCTCCTCGGGGTCAAACCCGTCGTTTCACTATCAGCACCTTCCAGTTCCTTCCTGATGGTGAGTTCAAGGACCCGAATGAAGAGGTAAGGATGAGCAGAGATGGGAAACACGACTGTTACCCAAAAGTGAAGCCAACGCACCTTGAATGCAACCTGGCTGCAATATAGGTCATGAGTCCGGCCACCTCCGTGTTGGTAGATGGGATATGGACCATGTTTTGGCTTTTGTTTCTGGATAGTGGGAGGAATTAGAGACGTGTCGTTCATCTTTATAAACAGTCTACTGTAGAAAGAGCTAGCCTGGCTCTGTGCAGAGTTAACAAACAAAACATCTTCATTTAATCCAGCCAAACCTGAAATGCCAACATTACAAGAGGTCATGAAATGCTGGTGGAGAGAGAATTGTTCCTTTTTCACTGTTTTTCAGACTTAACTAAGCTAACGGCTGCTGTCTGTAGCTCTACATTTAACAGACACATTGGGAAGTTGTGTCAGTCTTATCTCATTCTCATAGGGGGAAATACAATCAATGCATATTGTTGCTTTAAGCATGCCCATGCTTCTCTTACAGTTTGTATGAGCTGAAGGAGAGAGAAGTAAAGTATGCCGCTGTCTGCTCAGAGAGTGCATTAATTTGCCCCCCGATAGTTAATTAAGTCTTATCGTAGGATAGCAGTTGACATTTTCACCTCTGATCCAATTTAGTCAAATGTAAATTTGTGGAAGCAACTATGTATTCTTTGTGCAGAGTCACACTGTTTATTTCTTTTATATTCCATTTATAAGCTTGCAGTGGGAAATAATAGCATTTACAGCTGAATCTCTAAATCTCAAGGCAGCATTCATGACGAGGAGATGTGGAGACCATTTTGTAAATTGCAAATTCTGGCCAATTCTCAATTGCTAGCAGCTGCTTGTCACACTACATTGCACACACACTCTGGAGACTTTGTTTAATCCCGCTCCTCTTTCACCCCTCAGATCTACTTCATGTGTTCAACTGAGATCTGCTCACCACGTGACGGACCTTGTGTGGAGGGATGCTTCGGCCAATGACGGTGAGGAGAATTCACCCTCTGTCCTCAAATCACCCGCCGCGCCTTCGTGAACTCTGGAAGATTACATGGAAACACTCATGAATGGGCTGCATTGCACTGAACTCGGCCGGAGAGCGAGTAGCGCCTGCAGTTCCATACAACAGCAGGACAATGATTTAGTAATGAGGGCGGTTGTGAATTATTTATTAAGCCCGATCCATTTCCTGTTTTTCGGTTACGACATGCAAAACGCTTGAAGTTGGTTGAGAGATGATTATGATGATGATCTGGTGAGCAGTGCTGGAATAGTGTTGAGCTCCTGTTGAAATACTCCACTGTTGCTTTTCCTTTCGACTGTGTCTAATCTGTTTTCCTGCTCCTTTTTTTTTCAGGCGTCAGGCATCACTCATTTAACTGCCAATAAAAAGCTCCTAAAGGATGCTGAGGGTGTGTGTGTGTTTTTGTTCCTGAGCCTGCAGCCATTTGGTTTTAAAGCAGGAAGTGGCACTCCATCAAAGAAGGGGGCCAACATTGTTTACATGAACACTTGGCCCCTCTGTACTGAGTCTCAGTTAGACACTGGCCTTCTTTGTTGTTTATCGTGTAGAATTTGCGGCATTAAAAATTGACGATGGAGTTAGATAACTGGAGGTTTTACCTAGTATTAATATTCCTTGAATCCCAGAATAAGTGACGAAACATGTTTTGAAAGGGGGCTTCAGAATATTTCGCATGATTGTGTTAACATGAGCAGATTAACCTGCTTGCAGTTCATAACCCATGCAATCAACAATCGGCCCCCACTGTGCAGTGTGTACTTTACTCCTTTGTTGAAATATTACAGAGCCCTTCGTTTACTGTGTTGTTAATTGGATTACACAAATTCATTTTTGAACAATATCCTACACACTGACAAAGCCCCCTTTCAAGACACAGCCTCCAGATCAATAAATCAAGACCCCCCTTCATGTCTTGTATTATGTTAGATAACCTCTCACTATAGAGTACAGTGCAGTTCAGGGGAGATGTCTACTTTAATTAGCTGGTAATTAGATTTTATGTACAACAACTTCAGTGCGATTTATTGTGCTTCTCAGCCAAAGAGCCTTGCAGACTTAACATCAGGCAACTCTAAGAACTTACATCTAGCAGGAATACTTCTTGGCTGCATGGGTGTAGTCACTTCCTGTCTTGTTGTTACCATGCCAGGTTAGACAACAAACTAGCCTGGCATGTAGTTTTCTATAAAATTGCAGGTTAGTGTTTTTACACTTGTGTTTTTTATACAAGATAAGATATGATAAGACAACCCTTTGTTTTTTATTCTTCTTTGAGGAAGTTCAGCTATTACAGCAGCCCAACCCCAGAATGAAAATAACCTGTATTTAAGAATAGAATAAAAATAGGACAGAATAAAAGAGAAGTATATAAATTAAACTGATAAGATACAACCAATGTGTTAATCAAGCCTTAAAGCTTTAGATGCATTGGATTTTAATTGACTTTCTCAATTAATTTTGAAACATAATTGTGACAATGATGAATTATTAATTTAATAAAATTCATAGATTCTCGTCGTCCATGTCGATCATTGGGGTTATGTGCAGCACTTGTTAGCTGGGCGTAGTGACTTCCTGAGGTCTTGTCCTAAATGGGCCAGACAACCCAGTAAAGACTTTACAAGGTTAAAAAAAACTAGTCTGGAACATAACATTTATTTTTATTTTTTACTCTTGTGTTTTTTGTTTGAATAAAATCTTTTAATTAGGCCTTAGCTTTAGGGGGCTGATAGTTTGTGCTCCTGTTTCTACTAAGCTACTGATTTTCTTAACCGTCAGGAAGCATATTTCTGAAAATGTTAAACATTCAATTATTATGGTGGTCTATGCAGATAATTTGGGTTATGTGCAGGACTAGTTGTTGGCTGGGTGCACTGACTGCACCGTCTTGTCCTGTGTGCCAGGACACATAGTCAAGATAAAATAATCCTTTTTTAGTCCCATAGTGGGGACATTTGCAAGACCTTAAAGACTTGATTAGGTCTCAAGACCGTTTTTGCTTCCGCTTCTGATTTCCTTAACTCTGTGAGGACACATATTTCTGCAAAATGATGAACTATTGCTTTAAGAAAGGGAATGGGGAAGAGGAGGGGGGCTGGCAGCTAACCCATTTAAATCCTTACAAGTCAGGATTAGGATTTGGAAAAAAAATCAGCTTTTGCTTGTATTGTAATTAGCTGCAGCAAATTGCCTTTTGAAGTTGTGCTGCCTCTCCTGGTGGCTCCTGACCACTGGGTGTCATCCAAGCAATAAAAATGCCAGAGGAACATACTGCCGCTGCATGCTGCATGACTCACAGCTGGGCTTGTGTGTGTGAGAGAGGAGACCTTGGCCTGTGTGTGCTGGTTGTGTAATGAGTTAGGAATGAAATCTTGCAGGGGCCGGACTTCATGATACACCCATTCCCCTCAAAAGAGAAAATAAAAGGCCTTTAGCAGAATAGAGTTATGCACAATTGTGTTGCAGAATTGTGCAGCAGTAGTGATGTGAAGAAGGTGGAGGGAAGGTTTGATTTAAAGGTTTACAGCAGGAAGAGTGTGAGCATGGTCTCTCAGGGCCTTTGGACACACACACACACACACACTGAGAGAAATGTATGGAAGCACTGCGGCACCACTGCGTGTACTCATGGCCGCCTGGCTGTGCGTTCAAAGAGGAGAAGCGGAAGATAGGAGGAGGGGAATGACTCCACCGAGAGAGTAGGAGGAGGAGGGAGAGAGGACGGTTTCCTTTTCTGTAACACGCTGCCAGATCTCACCGGGAAACGGAGCGAGGGAAGAAAATAATAGGCGAGAAAGACAGAAAGAAAGAGGAAGATTAGGAAAAGGAGGAGGAACAGAGGGAAACGCCGCAGCCTCTCTGTCCGTCCTTTTGTCGCTAGTTGGTTTTTATTTATTTAACAAAAACAGAAACCCCTCGTCCCTTTTTTTTCAGCGGAGCCTCGCCGACTAACATGGGGGGAAGAGAGAGCTCCTGAGGCGGATCGACTTCCAGAGAAAGCCCTGATATGTGGAGCCAGATAAGACGCGAGAGGAACGAGGCGCAGGGGGAAGACATGTTGAGGGCTCCGTGCTCGTCTTGAGGAAACACGTTGTCGAGCTCCGGAGAAAAGACAACAACAACAGGAAAAGAACCGAGGAGGACAAATGGACAGCAGGCGGTAGGCTGTGTTCAGGAGCCAGTGTTTTTCATCCGTGTTTATTCAATTGGTTTGTTGTGATCTGAAAAGACGGAGGCCTCTCAGGCAGCCCCGCAGTAAATAAATCCACGGTCAGCAAACAAGGGGGCTACAGCCGAGAATCAAGCCCACAGACCCTCGTCTATTCCAAGGGACGTTTTCTCCATTTCAACCACTGGAGTCGAATTATTTAATTGGAGTGTTTTAGATTAAAAAAGACATTTCCAGATACATCAACTCTTAAGGGGGTCATAGAAAAGGCCCAGTGCAGTGACACTACCTGGCTGCATTAATTATTATTAGAATAATAATAATAATAATTAAAAGACTGTTTTAACTCCGGGCAGCGCAGAGGGTTTTCAGTTCAGAGAGAGAGAGGACACTAAAAGAAGATTTTTAAATGTTAATGTCGACCGACGTCGCCTCCATCATGCTGCCTGTGTCCCGGGGTCTCATGGACCGGGATAGAGAGCTGGACGCCATGGCCGGGGTGCACACCAACCCGGGCGGCGCTCCCGCAGCCGTGCGAGGCATGAAGCGCGGAGACCCGGAGCCCGACGCGCAGACGGCGGCCGCTCTGGTGGACTCGGCCGGCGCGGAGTGCAAGCGTCCCCGCATGGACGGTTCAGGAGGGATCGGCGAGGTTGGTCAGGTGAGTGTTTGTGTGTGTGTGTGGGGGGGGGTATGTTTGTGCAAAAAAACAGCAATGCAGAGACGATCATACCCTGCTGTGCACAAGCGTGGTGTAAGAAAGTCGTCATGCATGGTACTGTTATCATTTCATCAAGGATTCTGATATCCTTCACTACACCATGCTTTCATTTATTAAACCACGTTTCCCTTTTAAACCAGTTTGCTTGTGTAAATTGAGGCCGCATTTAGTTGTATGCAGGTAGCTGCAGCAAAGGGGCCACCATTGGGCCCAGTCCATTCTCAGCACTGCAGGAAATACCTCCACAATTCTCAGCCTGAGCCTGACCCTACATGCTGTGTAAAGGGAGCATTGCAGTGGTCCACTCTGAATGCAATCCACGGTGTTCACTGAGCTGTTCCACTGTAGCTGCTACATTGCACCTCCAGGCATTGGCTTCAGGTTTGAGAAGGAATTGCAACAGTAATTTGTTGCAGTCTCAATTTGTATGAAGTCGACCTGCAGTGTTTGCCGGGTCGTTACATCGGAGCCCGGAGATCCTGCTGCTTCACAGCTCTTCAAAGATGCTGTTTTAATGAATAATATCAGTGGAGCCCAGGCAGAGTTCCAGCAGAGGGTAGGAAACATAAACAAACTTGACCTTTTATTATGCAAAAAACCTCTTCACCATGTGGAGTAATGCTGTGGACAACATTCGGTTTGGAATGGAAATTGATGTCAGTGTTTGCTTATGTGATCTTTTTGGAGTTGGAGCGGGCGATGCAAAGATATGCACTTTTATAGCAATGCAATGCACTCATCCAAAACATAACTGCATTCATTCTGAGTGGTTTTATCAGCATTAGTTCTGCAGTGGTTGGAAGAAGCTCTGATTCTGCATTTGACCTCTCTTAACCTATTTCTTTTTAAATGTCAGTAGAATCTATGAGCTGTATTATTTTCACAATCGTCAAACATGTCTTGACAAAGCACCAGAGGAGGACAGAACGATGCTCGGGACATCGTTACAGTATATTACAGAGGGGCAAAGCACTCCTTTCAAAAGATAGAAAGCTTTATCCCCCACCATGAAAGCACCAGTAATGGAGGTGAAGTGGTTTGCTCCTGTTTGGAAAACTAAATGGATGGCTTTACATCGCCATGCTGTCTGTATGTGTGTGTTGACAGACAGGCTTAGGAACGTAATGCACTTAAAAACAGATGTGTGTGTGTGTTTGTGTGGGAAAGAGAGAGAGGCACGGATCGATAGCTTCAGCACCTAAAATGTATTGAACGTGAGCTGGCTGGACAGTCCGGAAATGAGAGTGGGAGAGATGCCCCCCTCTCCTCCCTGCCTCTCAGTTGGTGCAGGAACAGATTTGCCCTATCACTGGCAGTAAAGAGGCTTTGTTTCCAGCTAATGGGATCACATCTCATACTGGAGGGGGCATTATAACCACACTGATCTCTGAGATCCTTATCTGAGGCAGTGATTTTACACAACACACAGGCTCATGTACAAACACACACATCAGTAAGATCCACATGAAGATTAATCTTATACGTGTATAGAGCGACAATGATTAGTCAATGTAGTGACTAGTCGACAGACAAGCAAAATTACAGGCAACTGTATAATAATTCATTGTTTAAAGGTTCAGTGTGTAAGATTTAGGTGAAAGGAATTTTTGGCAGAAATTGAATATAAATAATCCTAGTGATGTTTTCACTGGTGTGTTTCATCTAAATTGTATGAATTGTTGTTTTATTTACCATAGAATGAACCTTTATATTTAAATACTCTATATTTACATGGAGGGGGGTCCTCTCTGTGGAGGCCACCATGTTTTTTACTGTCGTCCAAACTGGACAAACTAAAACTTTTGAGTTTTCATGACAACTGAAGTTCACCACAGGTTCTCTTTCATGTTGGGAAGGAGAAGGGGAGGGTGTATCCAGCTGCAATATGCAACTTCACCTCTAGATGTCACTAAATTTTACACACTGAACCTTTAAGTGATTTTTTTCCTTAAATGTATTGATTATTGATTTCCTGTATTTTTGAATTGCCCATATCTTAACGTACATGGCTGTTGGTTGGACAAAATAATGCATTTGGAGATATCATTTTGCAGTTTTAGAAACAGGTGAACGTATTTTCTGCTATTTTAAAGTATTTTCTATAGAGTAAATTATCAATAGATAAAATCATCTGTCAATCAATAATGAAAATAATCATTAGTTGCATACATTTGTTTTTACTGCTGTGACATAAGTTTGATAGACCTTTTTTCCACCACTTTACTGTCGTTTGAGCTGCACACGCTGAAACAGTTGTCCTCTGATCAAACTGTGAAACTAAAACTCTGTGGTGTATTTTAATTTACCCTAACCTGGTGACGCCATTAATACTCTACAAACAAACCGGGATGTGACGTCCAATTTTCCTGCTTTTTAAAAGCACTTGGCTCTTCAAGAAAAAAAATCTATAAAAATGTACACAAGCACTTCTGTAAAGCTAATCCTCAGAAGAGGGTAAAGGATGGAAAGTATTACAGAAATCCATTCTCTGGCTCTTGTCAAGCATCGTGTCTCCATTCCTCCATCCTTTCCATCCCTAATTTTAAAAAGAAAAAACACATTTATTTCCGACATCAAGGCAGGAGGTGAACTCTGACCTATAATTCAAGCCAACACAATAGGGTGTGGTTGTGGTGAAGAGCAGGCCATTTAAATGGCTGCAGCCAATAATGGGATCCTTCCCATTTGGCCACTGACCCTGCTGTTTTTCTCATTAGCTGCTCGGGTGTGATGTCATCGCAGTGCGGGGGTGGAACGCGCTGTCAAGTCGGATTTGCAAAGTTTTAGCGGAGCAGCAATGCATGTATAAGTCAGTGCAGCATGCACTATATGACTGAATGCTCAGCTAACACAGGCAAACATAGTCAGTGGAAGAACAAATAAGCTGGGTGCATTGAACAAGTTCAAATGTTCACTGCTGCTCATAGAAATCAGATGTTGACCTGGAGCTGACTCAGTGCTCGTCCATAATGTAGATTCTAAATACCTATGAAGCGTTCTGTAAAAGCCACCAACAAGAGGGTTCACAATAAAAATAACTTCACATCTATGTTGCATTCCTCTGCAGCAGCAGCAAAGTCCTGCATTTTTCAGGACAACAGGAGACTCATAACACCAGCCTGCGTCTCCAGCCCTGCTCAGATTTGGGGAAATGTTGAGAGGAGGTTGTCGGCTTCAATATCCATCCGGCGTGCTGCTGAGCAGCCCATGTTTTGTTGTCACTCTGCGGAGGAACCGGGACTCTCTTTTTAACCTAATAAGGTCTTGCCTGCGGTGACAGCACTGAGGACAAATGACTTGACTAGGACATTAATGTAGGTGGATCACCCCTCTGTACTTTCATCTCGGGCCCTGCTCTGAAATAGAATGAAAACGTCAAGAAAAGAAAAATGCACTCCTGCTGCGAGTTCAGAATATTTATTTAGTTTAGGGCCCTGTTTTTCTTTGATAAATCGCCAGCAGAGGTCTGTTGACTGAATTATGTTTGAGAGACCAGCAGATATGCATCTGTACGGTCCTGTTCATACCTGGAGTTAACATCTGTTTCAGGTGATCCGTTTGTCCAGATCTCACTCCCGCTTTAGATGCAAATAAACATGTAGCTACATCAGCTCTGTTCACAAAGACCAGATGATGACAAATGACGACAGACTATGACAGGCAGGTCTGTGCCTAATGCATTTGTTTGTGTGTGTACTCGAACTTGTGTCTTTTTGAGGACCATTTTGAGCAAGGACATTTTGTCCGGTCCTCACTTTCTGGAAGATCTGTATGAGGACTAAGATTTGCTTTGACGGTAGGTTGAGGCATTTAGTTGTGATGTTTAGAATAGGGTAAGAGAACAGGCACTGCGTTATGCAACTGAGTGTCCTCACTAAGATAGAAGAACAGGATTATGTGTGTCTGTGTAAGACAGAGAGAGAGCGAGCCAAAGAATTAATGCTCTGCATGCAGCTGTAGACTGAAATGATATTTGACTTATTAAAGATAGCAAAAAATATGAAATATTAAATCAATATGTAGCAGTAGGTTACCATGTGGCCAGTTGCCGCAAATATATCAACGTATTTAGTAAATATCTTTCTTTCATTATGAAGCTGCAGTGATGCAGGGGGCGTCAACTGAGTGGGCGGTCCTTCAATGTGGCCCAGGATGCATTTGCAGTCACATTGTGAAAACACTGCAGCCTCATGTGTCTCCAACTGCAGTGAAGCACTTTGTTGCTTTTGTAGTATTTCAGATTTTCATGGTGTTTGTTACAATATTAATAAATGCTTGCCTTTTAAGTTGTCTTTGTCTTCCATATCACATGGACAAAAGATTGGTCAGGAGCTTGTAAGAGACATTTTTAGCTATTTCCTGACATTTCTTGGATTTACTAAGCAAAGAAGAATGTCAACTACAAATTCATAAATAATCAAGAATCATGAGTTGTAGATATATTGTGACAATCTGTTCGTTGTTGCATTGTTTTTCCTGCAGACTCAATTGTTTTCAATACACTGTACTCACAAGATGTATTGCTCAGCTGAATAATTAAATGAAAATCTGCTAAAATGTCAAAAATGCAAAGGAGCCAAGATTTTTGCATTGGTCCCAGCATCAAGCTCGCTCTGAGTGGAGTGATGCTGCAGAGAAATAATGATCTGGACTAATGATGATGGGCAATTAAGCTGTGCAGTAAATAATTACAAGCAAATATTAATTCACTCCTATCAGATCTGAAATAAATTGTGGGATAAAATTACACTTTTATCTCATCACTTTAGTGGACGTCAGTTGATTATGTGTCATGTAAATTGCTAGCTGACGCTGCTTCATGATTATGTAATGACAGAACTGTCGAGGCAACGTCCAAGATCCACTTCAACTGCTGCAAAACACGTGTAGGTTTGCTGAGGAAAGTTGAAGGAGGTGAGGTGGATTGAGAGAAAATAAACTTCACATCGTCCGGCAATGTGTTTGGAGGCTTAGCACATAAGTGCTCTGTGGATGAAATGGATTCACATCCTCTTGAGTGTACGGAGTGGCCTGTAGTAAGGCTCTGATCATCACCGCTTCTGCACGTCCAGAATAAAACGTGTCCCTGGAGTTTATAAACTAAAACATGGCCAGCAGCATTTCCAAATTTCTCAGTTTTAGCGGCTCAAAAACGCTTTAGCAGAGTTGATGGGTTTTCAAAGGGAAACGTAGAAGTGTGGCTGTAGCAGCAGGGTTGTGTGTGAAAGGGATCACCGTAATGAGAAGATGGTGTGAAGGAGAAACTCTGATTTGGTTTTTCTCGCCCCTCCAAGCTCGCCTGTCCTCCCCCGCCTCCCTTTGACCACCATCTGTTGACTTCAAGTAGTTTTGTTACTGTCTCCTGATTGCTCACCCAGTCCTCCCCAGCAGTTTGGTCTTCTGTTTTTTAGTCACCCCCATCCCCCCGAAACACCACCACCACCTCTCCCAGACAGGTATCAGCTGCTTCATTTGTCACCAACAAGAAAAACATGACTAGCATCAGTAAGAATGAGAAATCATTTTGTTTTTCCTGCTCTGTGCAAGTGACTGTAGTGTGGAGAGGGAGACTGATGCACACTCATGTCGAGCAGCCTCCATGCAGCCCTCCCTCCCTCCCTCCCTCCCTCCCTCGTTCCACCCAGTTCCTTAAGGAAATTAAGCACATGACTCCGCTCATGTATGAGTCATTGTCTTTGCTCCCTCCATCTCATTTTGTCTTCCTTTTCTCTGCTGTCCATTTCCCACTGCCTCTCCAGCTCTGGTTCCTCCCCCAGTCTCTCCATCATATGAAATCCAGATGTTACCAGACACAGAGTGTGTGTGTGTGTGTGTGTGTGTGTGTGTTTTCACAACACCTCCTCCCTCAGTCTGACACAGTATACTGCCCTAATAAATCTGTTTTTCTTGCCTAATTGTGTTTTTGGTGTTATTTTGATCCCCCTTCTGCTCCGTACCTCCAGTTCATTGAGTCTGGAGTTTGGCCTCGCTGTAAAATAAGGTTTATTCTTTATTCATGTTATTCAAGCTTCTAAGACGTGATTCATTATTTAGAGCTTCTACCTCCCAAAGCCAGTTCTCTAAGTACATTTTTGGCTGTGAGATAGACTCGCACAAAATGCGTTTTTTAATCACAAGGACACTTCCTTCTCCCCCGCTCTCCCGACCAGGTCTCTTGCATTTTGGAAATGTTGCGCTTAGTTTTTAGTGAAACTGCCCCATGGGGTCCGGAGTTAGATGGCTACAGTATTAATCAGGCGAACTCAAGCTGTGAAGCGTGCAGAGCAAAGTGTTTCCCCTAGGGACAGAGCAGACGAGGGACATTGGTTCCAGATGAAAGGAAGATCAGGGGGAAGGACAGAGGGAGGAGGGAGGAGCCGAGTTGTTTTCTAATCTAGTGATATGAAGCCAGAGACAGGCAAATCTGTTTTCCCCTTCAAAGCGAGCTGTAATCGCTGTGAAAAGCTCCTTTTTAATGGAATACATTAGCATAAAAGCCGGAACACAGCATAATGAGTATAAATAAAGTGAGTTACAAACTATTTTAGGGACTAGGGACGTGATTTATGTTTAATATTTGGCTCCAAACAAAATGAGTGTTTTTTTTCTTCTCTCCGTCTCTGCATCTTGTTTAACTGTAATTACTCACCAGATGTTTGATGTATCCATCTCTTCTCCACGAAGCCAGAACATTGAGAGGAATGTGTCGGAGATTGCATCAGGGGCTCACAATGCCATTTAACACAGACGGGCTTCATTCTCGCTGACACTCCTGACCTATTTATGATTTAAGAGCCGTGGTGAGACACTTGTTCTTTCTGCCCTGTCTTTCATCTCCTGCTCGCATGATCTCACTCGCCCCCGTTATCGCGTCTTTACAAGGAGACAAAAGATCCGCTGGGTGGAAAACTCCAGAGGAGATAGCAGGAGTGTGTCACCGGAGTTAATTTGATTGGGAGTCGGTAACGCCACAAGAGTCAAATATAGAGGTGCCACTAACAGGGTGTAAAGATGGAGTAAATAGAGGAAGGAATAATTCTAAGTAATAAAAATGATGTGAATTAACAAAATACTTACCATGTATTTTCTCTCTTTCAGAACAACGACCCATTGACCCTTGGTTACCACGGCTACCCATCTCATAGTCAGGTAAGAATACATTTACATCACTAACACTTAAAAAAATTACATTATTTATAATCTCCTGCCATCCAGCCCTGTGTTTATTTCCTCTCTGGACGCAATGTGTGTGTGTATATATATATATATATATATATACACTGCATATTACTATATATATATACACACACACACTGTAGCATTTACATGGCTCAGTGAAGCTCTCTAAACCACAAGGTGGGGGTGTAGATTATAATTTGTCAGTCGTGTAGAAGACATGCCTCCACATCCTTCACTCCTCCAGTCAAAGCCTCCCACTCCTTCGTATTTCTCCATGCACCAGTCAGCAATATTATTAATCATCTTTCAGCCCGGAAAATGTCATTAATTTTCTTTTTTAGCACCTTGAAAAACATGCAAATATTCTTGCTTTTCTGCCCACAAACAAACAAACGCATAACAGAAACAGAACCTGCATAACATGTCGTGTTTGTTATTCTGTGTGTGTGTGAGAGTGTGAGTGTGCATGTGCGCAAGGCCACAATCTGTTTACTCTTGTTTGTATTAGCCTGCTGATTGTGTTATTAGACTGCTCAGTCTATGTGGTTAATCCTTAGATCATCCTCCGTTCATCCACTCATCCTCTCATGCTCTGCCCATAATCCCCTCATCCCTCACTCCCTGTGACGCCCAACAACCTCTGGCTGCTTATCTGCACTTCATCGGCCCTAAGCCTTCACTCACACACTCCTTGTTCACTGATTTTTGCTTTCCCTGGTTGTACTGTGCTGGTTAGAGGCCAATTAGCCAGTTTTCATTATAAAGTTCCCTTCCCTAATGATAGTTTTCAAAGAAAAAATCATAGTGGACTGAAAAGCTCTCAAGTCGGGATGGAAGAAAGCCGGTGATCGACTTCTTCAGGGACATAGAAGTGTGAACTGGCTCCTGACCGGGAAAGATGGAGAGAGAGAGAGAAAGAGGCAGAGAGGGAGTAAACAATACTGGGCAGCGTTAGCTCCCTCAACACTAAGGTGCTAAACTGTCAACAGCAGTGTGAGAATGATGTGATCAAAAGCTCCTTGAAGGAAAAGCCTCGAGAGCAGCGGGACACATCAGGGAAGCTGTTTGCACATGTGGAGGATGAAACTCTTTCTGGCGTTATCTGTCGTTTGAAGTAATGTCTCCTTATATAGGTAAATCATCTGCTAATGGTTTTATTCAAACATGACAGGACGTACAGAGACTGAGCCAAGAGTTAGTGCTGAAAAACATGAGTAACTTGCCAAATGCAATAATCTTTTGGATTACAGGCTTGCAGGCGTCATCTGTGATAGATGTTAAAACATGTTTTATCAGTGATGCCTGCTTCTCCTACTGCTTTTCATCTTAATTAATGTTTTTCATTAATATTTTATTGGAGAGAATTTAAAATTCGGCTTCTTACTTTTAGCATGAGCAGCAGCAAGTAGTATTTAAAATAGGTTGCAACTGTTATTTAGTTGCTATTTGCTCAGATGTTTTTTGAAGCAATCCGCCGGATATTTACATTAAACAGGCAACATGATTGAAATTGAATTTTTTTTTTCCCAAGAAGCTGCAGCTTTTTCTTTTTCGGCTTCAAAAGACATAAAGACAAATTTTTACCTAAGGATGTGACACAAAAACTAGTTTATTTGCAATCTCATATTTTATGTTTTTTAAAAATACTTCAAAAATACATTATTTTTGCATTTGCCTTCTGTAGTATGCTCCTTAGAAGCACAGTAGTTATAGTAGCTTTTATTTCTTGTATCTATTAGATGCTGTGCTAAGGACAAATACTGGCTTTTATGAGTTCAGTAATTCCATGTTTGAAGACATTGTTGACTCTTCTTTAGCCTTTTGTTTTAAATAATGTGACATGATAAATCTTCTCAGCGGGGTTTGTCTGGCTTTGCTATCAAGAAATATACAAGTCGTTCTTCTTATGTAGCTGCTCACGGCTTGTTTTCCTGAATGTATCTGAGAAAAATATTTGTCTCTTTAGCTTGTAAGTGCAAAACTTAATTCACCGACTACTTTCTGACTTTATCTGTGGTTTGGTGCTGGGTAGGTGAAAGAGGCTAAAATGTCTCCAGAAGCTGAGGGGGACAGTAGAGTCAGGTGATAATTATCTTAAAAACCCTGTTTCCTCTGGTTAAAAAAATCCACCATCACGGGCCAAATGACTCAGTGGTAGACACAGGGTTTTTTCGGCTCTGGTTCTGATCGGCAGTGATAGAAACATGACACCTGGGAGAACACGCTCATTTCTTCTTCTTTATTTTTGCTGTCTAGATGCTGAAGCAGCACATTTTCAGGTGCAACATTATGACGTGCATTGAACTTGCAGGCGTTGGCGCGTAAATAGCCATCAACATTTGTTAACTCATAGTTTTTTTTTTACAATGTGCATCACAGGTTTGTGTTTCTTTGAATCATGCAAGATGAAACATTTAAAAACCCAACCTGCAAATTTTGGAAGTTTGTGACTGAACCTTTTGCCTTTTGTTTTTTTTTAACTATTAAGAAAAAAAACCCTGATCAGCGCAGCTTTAAGGATTTTTAATTTATTCTGACTGTTTGCAGACTCAAGCTGTGTTTTTACCAGGGCAGTTGCAGAGATACGACTCTGGTGCTAATTTAAACATAAGACAAAGATGTAAAATTGCCAGCACGTTTACGTAACAAGGTGCATGTCTGAGAGGGGCGAGGAAGAAACGAAGTCTTCACTTGCTCTCCCAATGGTGCCAGCAGCCCCAGTTAACTCACCTACATGGAGAAAGAGAACAGAAGGAATGAGAGAGAGAGAGAGAGAGAGAGAGGGAGAGAGAGGAGGGAGGGACTGCGACATGAGAGGAGAGGGAGGGGAAAGTTTGCAGGTGTGACAGAGGAGGGGGGGGCGTCAGGCTATCTGGGTGAGAGAGAGAAGGAAGACTGGAGGAGAGACAGAGGAGATGAGCAGGCAAGGGCACGGCAGCACAACAGAAGGCTGGGGGTAGAGAAGAAGCAAGGAGCGAGTGGGAGAGGGAAAAGAAAAGAGTGAGTGGGAGACAGAATAGAGCGAGAGAGCGAGAGAGAGAGAGAGAGAGAGAGAGCAGCAAAGAAAAGAAACTAAGCAGGGGAGAGGGAGAGTGACAGGGACAGAGGCCAGAGGAGGAGGAGGTGGGGAGGGGTGGGGTGGGGGGGTTGGTGGTGGCGGGGGGTTGGCAGGGCAGACAGAGCGAGCGGGGGCAGAGAGAGGGAGATTTTGAATCTGTGAGACAGACAAGAGAGACTGAGCTGGTGAGGTGACACAGAGTCGGAGAGAGGGAGAGCGAGCGAGGCAGCGCGATAAGAGGAAAGAGGGAGAGAGGAGCGGCGACAGTTGGGAGTTGTTGCACAGAATACGATGATGGGACTGTACTATCCCTCCGTGCTGTCGGTGAGTGTGGATCCCGATACCTCTTCATATCCCTCCTGTGTGTGTGTGTGTGTGTGTGTGTGTGTGTGTGTGTGTGTGTGTGTGTGTGTGTGTGTGTGTGCTGTATCTCTCCGGGCTCCACTGTACGTGAAGCGGCATCAGAGCGGGCAGCTCTGTCACTGAGCATGAAATGTTAATTAACTACTAACAGATGAGGACTCTACTTGACCCCTTCACTCGAGCCGACCAGTCAGGGCATTTCAGCTTCCTGTCAGGACTTCGGCGGACAGTTGCTGTACGAGGTACATATGAGCAGTGGGGACCATCGGTGTCGCGGGCGTAGATGACAGCGAGGATGCAGGCTGGAGATCGTATCGCTACAATTCTGATTTGCCGTGGTGAAACGCACGAGCGGCGGCGTGTTATTGTGGTTGTGGCATCTGTTCTCTTGCCCCGAGCGAGAAGCGCACGCAATGTGAACATCAAGAGGCTGCCACTGCCAGAAACCTTGTCCTGCCATGTATTATGTATGCTCTGAAGGATCTTATGTGAACGTATAGTTCGTGCGGCGTGTTGGTCTGTACAGCTGGATGAAGCGGTGTGGCGTGTTGCTCCTGCAACTCCTCAGATATTTCTGTGGCAAAAAGCAGTGGAAGCAGTAAAAGAATAGAAGGGGGGGGGGGAGGTAAGTGGGGAAGAAAAAGTCTGTCGTCTTCTTTATGGCCCCTGCAGCTGTCTCTGTACATCGTTAAGGCCTGTGAGTGAGAGGGACAGGTGTCCACAGAACAGTTGTTTCTGTCTTTTTTCTTCTCCCTCGCTTTCTCTCTCTCTCTCTCTCTCCTTCTTTCTCCTCCTCCCCTCACCATCTCCTCTATTCAGCTAACAACACCTCACTGTAATTTCTGTGTCACACATTTCACAAACACACAGACGCTCAAGCACACAGTGGGCTGCAAAGTTGGTGCATGAAGTGTCTCCTTCATATCATTACATTTCGTTTAGTGTGAGTCAGGATGAGTGTGTGTGTGTGTGTGTGTGTTCCTGCCTTTACTTGTGTGTATGTGTGTGCACACTTCTCTTTCAGCTGTACCTTGGATTCCTGCTTTCTTTACTATTTGACCTCTTTTCTCCCTCCTCTTGCTCTCCCTGGGGCTGTGGCAGCTGTTATCTCAATGTTTTCCTTTAAGAGTCCATGGAAGAGAGGGGGATGGGTTGGAAAAGAGGGAGAGAGAGAATGGGAGAAGGAGAATAGAAAATTGATTTTTGAGGTGACGGGACACCCTCGGCCTGTTACGGGGAAGCCCCACGGATGAGGACACTGCAGAGACGGACGCACGAGCTGAAAGAGATTGAGAGCAACGTCGAGACGTGACAATATTGTAGGTCAACTGGAGGGAGGTAGTTTGCTTGGTGACGCAATCATAGGCAGTAAAGCTGACTTTGCAGTTATGCACATTTGTGTAAGTGTTCAGAGTTGCCTCGTGGCAGGAGTAATTTCTTTCTTTCTAGTTCTTTCACAGCATTACTTTCTGCTAATATTTTTTGGCCTGTGCAGAAGGAGGTAGAGAGAGCTGGAGTTGCACGTCGGGTGCAAAAGACAGAAATATTT